TCCCCGAAAGCCACCCTTTGTCCCCGACCTTGAAGGAAAGAGGCAAACCATTGAAGGGCAAGCCCCTGAATCCCCACGTCGGCGAGGCGATGGGTCAGCAACTGGTGGTCGACCGTGTCAAACGCTGCCGACAGATCTAACAACACCAGTGCCGCCACACCGCCTCGATCCAGATGTCTCCGGAGATCGTCAGTCAGGGCGACCAAAGCCGTCTCGGTCCCATGGCCCGGGTGGAAGCCGGACTGGAAGGGATCTAAGACTGAAGCATCCACAACACCAGTGCCGCCACACCGCCTCGATCCAGATGTCTCCGGAGATCGTCAGTCAGGGCGACCAAAGCCGTCTCGGTCCCATGGCCCGGGTGGAAGCCGGACTGGAAGGGATCTAAGACTGAAGCATCCTCCAGAAAGCCCTGTAACTGTAACGCCACCGCCCTCTCTATAGGTTTGCCCAAATAGGGCAAATTAGACACCGGCCGATAGTTGGCCAATTCGGCCGGGTCTAGAGATGGTTTTTTAAAGAGAGGGCGGACCATTGCTTCCTTGAGCACAGTCGGGAAACGCCCCTCCACCGTGTTTTGGGGCAACAGGGAGGAGACACTGGTGTTCCCTCACACTTATTTGCAGAGCCCACCTAGCTGAACATAAATGCAAGATGAGACTTTACTTATTTATTTTATGTATACCCCGCCTTTCTCCCCAAAGAGTACCCGAAGCAGCTTATGTCCATTCTCCTTTCCTCCATTTTAGCCTCACAACAACCCTGTGAGGTAGGTTCGGCTAAAAGTGTGTGCTTGGCCCAAGGTGACCCAGCAAGCCTCCATAGCAAAGTGGGGATCCAAACCTGAGTTTCCCAGACCCTCGTCCAACACTTTAACCACTACACCACGCTGGCTTTCTCTGGAAACCCAGGGCTGGCTCCCTCATCAAATTCTGGGAGGCACCCAGAAGATGTTTTCAGCATTAATATAAAAACGTGGTGTAACAATGAGACCTATTTTTTGTGGAGAAACAATGAGACCTATTTTTTGTGGAGAAACAATGAGACCTATTTTTTGTGGAGAAACACACATTTTTGTGGAGAAACACATCCTCAGAGAGCCAGAACTGGCCAGAGCTCTCTGTCGCTCTGTCCTCACACACATTCACGTATCCCAAATGAACTTCTCAGGGGAGGTAATTCCTCAGGGAAGAGAACCTCCTTCCCAAAAACTTCTGCTGTGGTAAAAAAGTGTTTTCGCCCCTCAGACTTTTGCCCTCTTTAAACGTAAAGGAAATTTTCTCCTCCCACTCCTCTTTTTTCTTTTTCTTTTAATTAGCACATTTTCTTCCCAGCTTCACATCAGAGTCCCTTCTTTTTGCTTCATAACCTCGACACTCAGATTCAAAATTCAGGAATGTGGAACTTAAGTTTTCCATCCTCTCTCTGTACTTATTTGAAGCCTTCCCTTTCCTTCAACCAGACTCGCCCGTGTCATTTTTAAACAGCCAGATTTCCATTTCTTACGTCACACTTACATTTTTCTGGAGGAGAAGCACATTCGAGCCATATCTTTTGCTCCACCATTGGCGTCCTGTCCCCGGCGTCGTGTCCGTGGTCAGTCTAGAGGCATTCAGTCTTGTGTGCGGAGAAGCCCTTGAAAGTCACTCGCACTGACTTTAGAGTTGCTCTCATTAATTTTTTTTTTGCACCCGCCTCGTCCTAATTACAATCGTTATATTCTTATTGTTTGCCCTCCAGATAAACCGGCTCAACAGGTCCAGGAACTCCTCTGTTGTGTATGTCAGAAGCGGCTTTAATAAATTCAGTGCAAGTCACGCCCACTCACTGCATAACCCTGAAAGGGAAGCAGCATCTCTGATGTAGCAGTTGGCCATTGCTTTTCTGACAGGTCCCTCTGCCTCGATCGTCTCCATAGCAGGCAGAAATGGAAGGTCTCCCCTTCACTTCACAATCATGCTGCAGACACAGAGTCCCTATGCAGTTGGCCATTGCTTTTCTGACAAGTCCCTCTGCCTCGATCGACTCCATAGCAGGCACAATCATGCTGCAGACACAGAGTCCCTAAGACAACGCAAGGGCATGACTCTACAAGCCTGCTGCCCTTCCTAAGCCTCCCAGCAAGCTGACTGTTGAGTCTGGCACCTTGAAAAAATGTCAAGTCAACTAAAAAGGCATTATTACATCACAGTGTAATGACTCTCTCTGTAAGCAAACATTGACCTCATTCACAGACTGATTCACTCAGCTTCCTGGGGTATTTAAATAGTTAGGATATTTCTTCATGCTCTAGGAATTTGAAATTGTTGTCCAAGACACTCATATTATTAGAATCACCTGAAAGGTACATTTGGGGAGCATTAATTGTACCTCCAAAAGCTCAAGCTATTCCCACACTGGCAAGAAATCCGGTGTGCTGCGCACAGACCCTGAAACATCCTGATTAGTGGCAAAATCTGAGAAGGGCATAGGGATGCCAGCCTCCAGGAGAGACCTGGGGATCCCCCAGGATTACAGCTCATTTCCAGACTACAGAGATCAGTCAGTCTGGAGAAAGGGGTGCTTTGGAGGCTGGACTCTCCGCCCTTGTGCTGCACTGAGCCCCCTGTCCTCCCCAAATCTCCAGTCGTTTCCCAACCTGGATCTGGCAACCCCATCCCCCCATCCCCTCTGGTGGCCGGGGGGACCTGGTGACCCTAGAGGTGCATTTGTGCATCTCTTCTTCAGAATGGGGACACAACTCATCCTTTGAAATGGTTGAACCACTCCCTTTGGTGTAGAGGAGTTTGGTGTAGAGGAGCCAGTTTGGTGTCGTGGTTAAGTGCGCGGACTCTAATCTGGGAGAGCCGGGTTTGATTCCCCACTCCTCCACTCGCAGCTGCTGGATGACCTTGGGCAAGCCACATTCTGTCAGAGCTGTTCTCTCAAGGGCAGTTCTCACTCAGAGCTCTCTCTAAGCCCCGCCTACCTCACAGGCAATGCTCCCTCTAAGTTGTGGGGCCTTGTGAGCAAAAATTCTACCTGGTGAGCTGCCGGCATTAAAGTTGTGAGCGAGCGATTTGGCTACTGCATCAGTTAGTTTGCTCTGGAGCCCTCCTTACCGAGCTAAGACAAAAATGTGTGAGCCGGAGGCTCAAAAACTGTGGGCTGGCTCACACTAACTCAGCTTAGAGGGAACACTGCTCACAGGGTGTCTGTTGTGGGGAAGGGAAAGGAGTTTGTAAACTGCTCTGAGACTCCTTTGGGTAGTGAAGGGCCATGGGGTATAAATCCAATCTCTTCCTCCTCCTCCTCCTCCTGCACCTATAGTGGAAGACACCAGACATGTATCCGCTTGTCAGAACTTGGGACGTGGAATTTCCTTCATGGCAGCAGCCCCCATTCCAGTCCAGAGTGAGCCACGCAGCAGATCCGGTGGCGCTCAGAGGCTGGGGTTGGCAGCTCCGGTTCAGAAACTTCTAGAGATTTTGGGGGTGCAGCCTGTGGAGGGTGGGGTCTGAGGAGGGGCGGGAACCCAGCAGGGCACCGTGCCACCGAGGCCACTCACCAAAGCTCTGTTTTCTCCACGGGGACCGGTTTCTGTAATCTGGAGATTACGCGTAATTTGGTGGGATCTGCAGGCCCCACCCTGAGGCTGGCAAACCCTGGTTTAGGTTTGGGGGGAGGGGGTGGGCACTTCAACATCAGGAACTGTGCTTGCAGAGCTCAACATTATTTTACTAGTGAGCGTAACTATGACTGTAATTCCTTTTATCCTTTGTTATTAGGGAAAAGCCCACGGATGACCTGTTGAAATATTTCATGCCTGCAAAAAACACACCGATGACATTGCTCATTGAGGCATTTCGTTGCAAGAAGAGCACAAAATGTAAAGGCATGCGGGTGAATAGGGACTCTCACCCAAGGCTCTGCGTGTTTTTTTCTAAATCCGGTGCCGTGTACATTAATTACCTGCTGGCCTGGCTTTGTCCGGAGTGGGACGGCGCCAGCTACCCCGATCTCATCAAATCTCAGAAGTCGGGCAGGACCCGTCCTGGTAAATACTTCGATGGGAGACCGTCAAGGAAATCCTGGTCTCTACCCAGGCAATAGCAAAACGCCTCTGTCATCCCTTTGCCTTGGAAACCCTGCAGGGCCACCTTCAGTGGGCTGTGACTCAACCGTCACTTTGACCATCCCAAGTTTCCCCCCCTGTTTTCATTTTGACAAAGAGCATCAGCTGTTCTCACTGCCATGTTAACTGTCGGCTTCCTCCTGGTGCAAACCCGTGGAATGACTAAAAACAATTGCTTGAAATTATTCAGAAAAGGCTATGAAATTGATGCTTAATGTGGAGATGTGTATGCATTATGGATTTTAAATCACATAACTTTTTTTTTTTTAATTAAGAAAGCAAGAAAAAAGCCAACCATCTCACGGGACGGAATGTTGATTTGTGGGTTTCTGTTGCCTCTTCCGTCTTGGGATGGGGAGGCACTTCCAAAGGAAGCCAGAAACGTATTTTTAAGGTTGCCAGCTCTGGGTTTGGAAATTCCTGGAGATTTGGGGGGTGGGGTCTGGGGAGGGCAGGGTTTGAGGAGGGGAGGGACCTCAGTGGGGTCTAATGCCGTGGAGTTCACCCTCAAGGGCGGCCATTTTCTCCAGGATATGGGCAGAGTAATCAACACAACAATGGTGCACAACCTGATTAAGCCTACCTATTTTGCTGCAAACTTCAGTAACCGTACAGTTGTCGAATAACAATAAGCTGTCACTGAGGCGATCAATCAATCGATAGAACAGTTAGGCCTCAGTGAATGACTGATTAACAGAGATGTCAAAATTGTATTTCCATATGATTTAGGAAGCTAAACACTGGAACTTACACAGCCAGACTCCTGGAGTTAGTTACCTGCCACCAGATGGGGCCTGGAGCCCTCCAGAGTGTACAACTGATCTCTGCCCAGGGGTCATTTCCTGCGGGAGAGCACAGGAGCGGAGCTCCAGCAGTAAGGAGCTCAGGGGGCAGGCACATGCAGCAAGCCCCGCCCCCTGCTCCCAGCAGCCCTCAGTCGGGCCACGAGGAGCAAGAAGCAGCCAGCTAAGTTGCAGACCCCCATCCCCAATCCCGCCTTCAGGTACAAGCTCTCCCTCCTCTGTGAAGGCAGATCTGTGCATTCCCCCCCTCCCATAGCTAGTAATCCAAAACAGTCCAGTGCAGCCTGAGCGGTGGGTGTTGCCTTCTCACACACTTCCGGTGATGTCAGGGGGTGTGGCATATGCAAATAAGTTATGCTAATGAGCTCCTGCACCTCTTTTTTTATGAAATGACCCCTGTCTCCGCCCAAGAAGAGACCAGCTCCCCTGGAGGGAATGGCCACTCTGGAAGGGGGGCTCCATGACACGACATCCCTCCCCAAACTCCACTCTCCCCAGGCACCCCCCCAAAACCTCCAGGAATTCACCAAGCTAGAGTTGGCAACTCGACAAAATCCCTGACTTTTTCTGTTTTTTAAAAAATTGCAACATAAAAAAACCAAAGTAGAAAGAGCATATAATCAAAAAGTATATGTAAAAATAAAGACAGTTTCAAGCAAATATTCTTAACAGCTACTTAGTCAAAATTCCAGTGAGATATTATCCATACATATTATTATTTTCTTCCACTGTGTGTTTAGCTTCTCAGTGGCGCTTCTGATATGTCATTAGGTGCATTAGAACATACGTGTCCTTACCCTTGTCTACCAGTCTTTCCTTTGAGGAATCAATTTCCGTTTCCAAACTTTTACATAAACCAATCTAGTTGTGGTCAATGCTCCCTCTAAGCTGTGGGGTTTTGTGAGCAAAAATTCTACTTTGTGGGCTACTGGCATTAAAGTTGTGAGCCAGCAATTTGGGTGCTGCATAAATCAGTTTGCTCTGGAGCCGTCCTTCCTGAGCTAAGACAAAAAGGTGTGAGCTGGAGGCTAAAAAACTGTGAGCTAGCTCACACCAACTCAGCTTAGAGGGAACACTGGTTGTGGTAACAATGTGTTATACAACCCTCCACTGATTATTTGAAATAATCAGTGCTGCATAATTTCATAGAAACAGTTCTCCGCTTAGGTCATATTGGATGCCATGGAATAACACTGAAGCCAAAAGTTGTGCACAGTGGAAAAGCCACTACACACACACACACACACACACACACAAACATTTGCCTTATCTTCACCACAAACCCAACCAGCAGCACTAGAGTCCCTCTCCACCCTGGCTGGCCTTATTGGTGAAATATTCCATTGATGGAGCATCTTATGGATATTCTCTTGTCCGGGGGTCGGGGGGGGATGACTAACAAGGAAAGTGGAACCAATTGTCAGTCAGAAGGTCTACTCTACACCCATGTTAACTCGTCACCCCAAAAGATCTGTCATTTTAAACATAATTTTTAACACCAGAGGCTGACATTTCTAACAAATGCTACAGCAGACTGATGGAGAGAGCTGACAAAAAGAAATTTTTCTCCCTCTCCCAAAATACTAGAACTCAAGAGCAACCCATGATGAAGTTGACAGGCAGTAGATTCAGGACAGACAAAAGGAAGTACCACTTTACACAGAGAGTGATTAAAATGTGGAATTCACGGCCAGAGGGGGTAGTGATGGCCACAA